TGGAAATTCTAATTAAAAATTAAATAAATCTGCTTTATATAAAAAGTTACTAAAATGCAATCTGAGTTTGATTTATTGAAACAATGGGTTATTGATCTTGAGGCTGAGAATGCGAAGCTAAAACAAATTATTGAAGAAAATGCTAAACGTGAAACTGAGAACATTAATCTTAAAATGGAACTAGAAAAAAATAAAAAAGATATCACCTATCTCTCAGCTGAAAATTCTGAGCTTAAAATCAAAGTAACAAAATTAAGCTGTGATTTCGAGGAAATAAAATCAAAGAAAATAATCACTGATTTTCTGGAGCAATTGTCAATTTCTGAGAAAAAGATAGTAAGTGTTTCTACCGAAATAAAAAATTCTAGCATTACTCCTGAACAAATAAACTTATATACTGGTGATGTTTCAGCATCAGATATATCAGATAAAACTTCAAATTCTGATAATATTCCCACAAAAGAAATTTCACCACTTAATAAGAGTCAACCTGATAAGGAGGAAACTATTACTCCTGACCCTATAACTGGAATAGAACATAGCTCAACCCAGATCCAAAAAACTGAATTATCTACAATCTCTTTGTCACAAAATATTATCGATGACAATACAGACGAGACTCTTGATTTTGTAGAAATGAAACATAAAGAACATGTTAATAAAGAGATAATGGAGAAAATTAGGGAAAAGAAACTTTGAGATCAAAATTCATCTTTGGATAGTACTTTATCAGAACCATCCTACAAAAATCAAAATCTGAAATCATCTATAATATTACAATCTATCTTTAATAATTCTGAGTTATCTTCGAATAATAAATCATCATGTGATCCTGAGTCCAAATCACCTAATCAGAGACATGAAACACTTTGCTTCACAAAAATTTCTTATAATCAAAAGGTAGAATGAGATTTAAGATTTGAGCTATCTATTTGCATTAAAGATAATAATCACAAGATTAGTAAAGTATTTGATATTCAGATTTCTGAATACTCTTTAGAAGTGATTTTATCAGAATCTAGTGACATTACGTTACAAAATATAGTTGATCTATTTAGGATAACAATGAAGATTTGGTAAAAGAAAAGTTTGTGCTGATATTATTATTATAAAGAATATGAGAATCGAGTCAGTGATATTAAGACTGCAAATAATAGTGAAGCTAGTGCTAAAGCACATATTGATGACCAATTGGCAAAAATGATAGTGTATAATGAAATAAAATCGCTTCTTCCTGATATCACTAATGTAAACTTGCGTAAAATAACTTCCAGAGCAAAAAAGTATATATATTATATGAAGGAATAGAAATTGATAAAATTAGTCAAATAACTTATAGCACAAGCACTATTTCAAGTTTAAAGGATATTCAAATTCAAAATATCATAAATGATTTTTCCAAGACAATTGATATGAGTTGCCAGACACAGAGTGACATTTCTTCTGAAATAAAAGTGATCAGTGTGACAAATTGGAATGCATACATGACTAAACAAACTTTGTCAGAAACTGATATAAGTATTATATCCACTCCTCTTATTTTATCATCCCATATCTCTAGTCATTCTGTAATTGTCTCTGGTAATTCAGAAGATAAGGAAGTTGAATCTTTACCAGAACTAAGATAACTGTTGTAAATGCATTATGTAATCCAACTCGTGATCATGCTTATTTCCATAATAAAACATTAAAACAATATCCTACTTTATGTTAAGAAGATAGTAATGGGGATGATGATTATTATGGAATTACTGATGAATCTTTATGCTCACTATGCAAGTTAGATCATGATAATGATAATGATATAGAAAGTAAATGAGAAATTGGATCCTATTATATTAAATGTGAACAGCATGAAATTGAAATTGAGATAATAGCATAATCTTTATCACATCTTCTCACTCTACCAATTCATTATATTCATTATTAGGATAAATATACTTATTAATGTTGTTATATATATAGGATAATTATATATCTTTTTTCAAATGTATGAGAAAAAGGCTCAAAGTCAGAAAAATAAATGGTGAGAATATATGAGTGATGATATCAAATAGCATTTTTCTTAATGCATCATTTATCTTTTTTTGAACTAGAGAGGAAAAATGTCTCTCTCTGAAAATATTTATTTTTTGTTGGTTATTACTAATTTAAAGATATGAAATATTATATAAAATGAGAACATGAATACTGTTACAGTAGTAACATAAAAATCGTTAATTTCAAAAATAATTAAAAAATACAAAATATTCAAAAATATTCATATAACAAGAATCCTTCTAAAAAATTACTTTTCATCATTTTAATTACTTCTCATCATTTTCGATTTTTTTTCATCATTTTCTGATTACTTTTCATCATTTTTGATTACATTTCATCATTTTCTGATTACTTTTTATCATTTTTT